CACTCGCGGAGGCTGCTCACTCACAGGTCGGGACAAATTTCCCTGTCGCCTTTCGTTCTCGACACTGGTCGCTCGAAAAACCCTTTGCACACCTCTCTCCTCGTCCGTCACATCCGTCCCCTGTAGCACCCTCTCCTGTTCGCGTCCTCTAGGACCCGGGTCTACATTCCCTCGAACTCGTCCATTGCCGCCTGCAGAATACGTTCCACGTTCGACCTCGGGGCCATACCTTCCTTGAGATCCCCTCCCAGCTGCACGACACAGTCTGTGAACACCTTCTGCATCTTCTGATCCGATAAAGACACCAGTAGCTTGGCGGAGTTCTCCTTGAACGCTGAACTGATCCTGAACCCTCTCACCAACGCCACTAGATCGCGCTGGTCGGTGATCCCGTCGATCTGCTGCTTGCACACTGCCCACGCCTCTTTGTTCCTGGCTCCGACGCGATCCCCCTCTTTGTGTAGTTGATCTGCCGCGACCATGAACATCTGGCAGCAAGCAGGTCCCATCTGCACCTCTGGGAGTGGTGAGTTGGGATATTTGGCGTGGGCCTCTCTCATGGCGATCGCCTGCTGCGCGTACGCGCGCCCTGCCTGGAAGGCCACCTTGGCCAGCACGTTGTCCTCCGCCACTAGTATTGTCTGAAACTCCGCCGCCATGAGAAGCCGCAGCTGGAACGTGTTCCCGAGAACGGCCCTGACGAGGACAGGCATCAGTCGACTCATTGTCTGGGGGTCCATCAGCGGCAGCTTCTCCATCACGTTCTCGTCGAGTCCGTACTGCTTCGAGAGCGCCGCCCGAACCGCGGGGCCGCCTGCTCGCTGCTGCTGGGCCGCGGCTGCGGGCCGCTGTGCGACCGCGAGCTGGCTGCCTCCGCGTCGGCGCCCACGGCGCTGGGAACCAGCGGCTTACCCACTGCGGCCGCGCTGGGGTCGCGGGGCGCCTGCCCCTCGCCCCTCGGATCGGGGGCGCGCCTGCTCGAGATGCTCTGAGCTCAACTTGAACATGCCGAGCCGCTGGAGCTGGAACGTGAGAAGCTAAGTGATCATGTAGGGCCGAAAGATTGTCAAACCCCGCCTCTCTCGAGCAGCACGGCTCCTGATTGTGACCTCCCAAGACTGACGCAACCGTAATCCGTGTAAGTGGGCGCTCCAGGACCTCTGGCGTTTGAGCCCGATGGTGGTAGATAGTCGTCACAAGGCACCGTTTCTGGAGGACCGCTTGTAGTGCGTGTGACTGTGCAATACGCCGCGTGCGGCATGTCTGACTGCAGAATGGGCACTGAATTGTAACCGTAACGCTGTGTACCATGGACCTCATGTTGTGCCCTCCCGCCCTTGAGAACCTCTGGTGCGCCAGTAGAGCCCGTCGAGTTTTGAACTGTCTCCCGCAGACTGTGCCCACAGAATCTGTTATTTCGCATGTCCATGGGTACGGATCTGGTGGAGGCGGGGCTTCTGGGGGAGCCACTGTAGGAGCCACAGGAGCATGCAGGCCAGGAGGTGGAGGGATGACCACAGCCTTTGCGGCCGCTCGCAGCGCACAAGGGTCGATGCGTAGAAGGCGGTCTCGCACGTCAGCATCCAGAAACAGAGCCCGAACGTTCACCCGTAGCGGGTCTGGCGTCGGAGGCTCGTAGACAAAGAGGTCATCCAGGAAGTCGCGCTCCTCAGCACGATTCAGGAGTCGAATAACATCCACTGCGAACCTCCATGCAGAAGGGTTCGCATCCGACGAGATGGTGCCGTCGGGAGTGAGAGTCGATGCCGACTCTACTAGTAGTTGGCCAAACACCGCAGCGATCTCTTGAGAGTGGCATTCGGGGCGGCACAGCCATCGATGATACGTGCACAACCTTCGCGCTCGTCGCTCGGTGCCCGTGGGGGCCACACCCAGGCGTCGCAATGCGTCTTCATCCTTCAGTGCCTTATACCGTAGTAGTGGGGCCCCATCGGCGGCCAGCTGAGGTGTCCCATCGGGCCCCAAGATCTCCGTTTTGACACACGCGTCTCCTCCCAAGAGTTTGCGACCAAACCCCGTCAGCACACGATCCAACCTCCTTTCCTGCGAGGGCGACAGTATCATCGTGTTGAGACCGCTAAGCAGGGCCCCTTGCACGATAGCCCCAAAGACAGCTCGCGTGAACCTCCACGCCCGATTGCGGGCCCAGAATCTTCCCATCGAGTAGTAGCCCCTCCTACATGCCAAGATACGCCTCTGTATTTCGGTGTTCGTGCCGCCATTAGCTGACGTCGAGATCCTCAGAGACACATGATCAAACTGAACCTCCCCAGCGACAGGAACAGTGCCTCCACGCAGAGCCTGAGAGTACCCATGAGCCCCTGGTCCCACGAAGCTGGGACACACATGACTTTTGTCGGCGTTGTGCTCATAGCCTGCAGGGGCCAAACATTCCCGCAGGCGCCGGTGAGAAATGTCCAGGTTATACTGAGCGTTGAGCGCCGACGACACCACGTGCGTCATCGATGTATCATCTGCATACACTCGGCAGGCAAGCGACACTGGTCTGTGAAGGAACGGCGCCCACGCCGTACAGATGTCTTCCGACGGCCACACATTCTCGTCGAGCGACCGAGGAGGAGTAGTAGGAGCGAGAGGACTGGAAACCCATTCATCATATGTTGCAGGTCGAGGAGGTGGGAAACTGTCGCGCCAAGCATGCTGTCGTAAAGCGTCCAACCAGCCAGCAATCGGCTTCCGAAACGTGCGAGCGAAAATAAAAAACAGCAGCAGGGCTATCTCCCATGAACGCACCGCACCTGTTTCGCAGAGTCTGTTCGCCCTCCGCCGTCTGGACAGTGAAGGTGCTGGTCTCATGCCTCTGGGTAAAGAACACCTGATCGCGGGGGTCCACCGAGAGCCTGACCGCGTCCTCAAGGGCCTCGAAGTTCGCGCACCCGAACGCGTTCGACATGTCTTCCTTCGAGACGACCGCCGAGATGCCCTGCTTCCGAAGCCTCCAAGCCAAAACCTCCTGGGCCACCAGGGCTCCCTCGCGGTTCCTGCCAGGGAGATATCCGTGTTCACGATCGGGGGGCACATCAGGGGGTCCGCGCTGTAAGAGCGACTTGTACCAGGCCACGCCCATCCTACAGAGCCCATGCATATACCTGCGAGCCTTGAACCCATCCTCACCGTTGGCCTTGCTAAGCCCAGTAGCCCGAGAGTGGTGCTAGACCGCAGGGGTCCTTTTCACGCGCCTAATCTGGTGGAACACTTGCTGCAAACGCATCAGGGAGACCTCATTCTTGAACCCCTCGGGAGCAGCCCCCAAGCCCCGTCGATCACCCCCAAAACGGTGACGCTCTGCCAAGACATCCGCACGCCGCCGTCGAGGAGGAGGAGGAGAACCAGGGCGGGAAGCCTCCTCGGCAGCATCCTGCTCTCGCTGACGGCGGCGACGGGGTCGCCCGTCGAAGCGACGGGCTGGGTCGAGCACGAGTTGCAAAATCTCAGACGGCACGCTGTGCAGCGGAGCCGCCTTCCGACGAGGCGACTTCGCGACGATCTCCACCACCCTCTCCATATCCTCCCTAGCCTCCTCCGCCGCTTCGAAGTTGTTTGCGCCGAAAGGAGGGGGCGGCGGGAGCTGCGCCAGACACTCCTCCTGAAAGGTCCGAAACTGGACCGGCACCGCTTGAAATCCACCTGCGGGACCAGACAACGCAAAATACGAGCACACTTCATCATTGCGAGGCACAAACTCGTCTGCTGTATTGCATCGTCGTTTCCTCGGTCCGCGGCACTGTCCAGCGAGCAGGTGCGCCGGGCGCCGCATCTCCGCATGCCGTCGGGGGCGCCGGGCAGCCTGCAGTTCAGTAACAATTTGTTCCGTAACCTCCTGAAGCCTTGCCCGCGCTAGTTGTCGCAATCGTCGTGAACAGCGGGCCAGGGCCATACAGGAGTCGGCATCGTCGTCACCTCGAGCCCGCTGAGACCTCCGCAACGCCAGCAAACGCCGACGCTCCACATAGAACCGCACTGCCTTGTCGTCCTTTGTCGCCTGACGCGAGAAATGCTTCTCAGCGGTAGCATACACAGTAGTAATCCACTCGTGCCACATCTGATCAGGTGCTGACGCAGTGACCATTTCATCGTGTGGGTCCGTCCGTGACTCGAAAGCATCTTCCAGATCCCGTAGAAAGTCTCCTACCCCCACACCACGACGCAGGGCCTGAACGAGCCTGTCAAAATCCCATCGAGCACCTTCAGGGCGACTAGCAGAGAAATCGAAAGAGCAGTGGACCGCCATCATGATCGGGATATGATCCTACAAACCTCTCCGAGGAACCAATTTTAAACGCATATTGGCCTGTCGAAGGCCCTTACAGTATGCCACGCTTCTCCTTTGCCACGAGAGCGTTGCCACGTAGTCGATGACCGAGGTACTCGAGTGCCCAAGGAAGGTGGGGCCCACTGGGTAGTCCGTCGAGGCCACCCGAATCGCAAACCTTTCCAAAAGCTCCCGAACACGGTTCCCCGCATAGTGCTGCTCCCCAAGACCATGACTCCCGTAAGCCTCCGAAGTGATGGGCCCCAGCACACCCGTTTGAGACCTCTGAAGATCCAAGGCGTCATTCAGGTCGAACCCCCAGAACATCGCAGACCGAGCCCGAGACCACGTAAAACATTTCTCCAGCCAGTTCACAATCCAGTCTACAGTTGCCTGATACCTGGCGAAGGTGCCTCCAGAGCTGCTTTCTCTCCCCTCGCGCTTCTGGGACGGGCGCGGGGGAAAGTAGGTGATTGAAAGTAGGATGTCGAACCTCCCCGACCGCAGACGGTGTAGTGCTACCCTGCCCTGGAGACAAGAGGGGACCGTTGGACTGTCCACCACATGCTGCAATCTGAACTTACGCCGACGCAATAAAATAATAATACCGCAGGACGTATTCACATGTTTCCCTGGTAGGTACCCGTGACGCAGCGCATAGTGATGGGCGAGGGTCGACACTGTACACATCAACTCTCCCGCACGTTCACCCGCCCCCGTCAGGGCCACTATGTCGATATTGTGAAACTGGGTCCGAGATGTCGTTCAGCCGACCCTCGTCCGACGCCGACATGCAGATCCAATGTACATATGTCACCCTCCCGAGCGTCCGTCCTTCTGCATGTTCGCACATTGCAGCAAGAAGAGTCAGCGAGAGCAACAAACACATGGGGCAAACATGGACGGGGACAAGAAAACTGCGGGGCCCGCTGCCCGATGAAAGTTCGATATCAGGTGCGCAGGATCGCCAGCCCCACGTGGGGGCGCGCCTGAGCGGGAGGGGCTGGAGGAGACTGGCCCCATGGTAAAGGCTGGCCCCCCCGCCTTGCCTCGAGGCCATGCCCCGCCCCGCCTCCGCCGTCGGTGAAGGCCTCGGTCCGCTCCATGCTGCCCCATGGGTAGACGCGGAGGACGAGGGCGAAACGGGAGAAGCGGGCGAGGAGCGTGGCGAGGGGGAGGGGTAACGCAGATCCAGCGCCCCGTGCAGGCGCCGCTGTAAGGCCACCAGGTGTGGCAGTACGACGTCCGCCGCCACCAGGAACAGCATGAGGATCCTCGCGGCGGGCGCCGCGAAGCCTCCCCGGGGCTGGATCCAGACGAGCATGCTCCGCAGGTGGCGATCAGCGCGGTCGACCGCCGCCTCCACCTCTGGTGGCAGCTCATGGGAGCCTCCGGTTACATTTTGCTGGCTCTTGCGACTCGACCCCAATAGACGCTTATCGACGCTACATCGGCACTAAATCGACGCCCATCGACGCTAGATCGGCGCTTCCTCATCGATGCATTACCAAACGCTAGCGCGCGCTAGTGCACTCTGAAGACGGAGTTGCGAAGACATGACATCGACGAGCGCGTTCCGCTACTCGCAAAAGTAACTACTCGCAAATGGCCTGCATCCGCCGCGGGGGATCTACGATACCTTACACAAGGGCAGACGTATGGCTTTTCGGACGTCTGCGAGCAGGCACTCTGCGAGTAGTGGTACGCGCTCGGCGCTACCGGGCCCCCAGGATCTGCGGACCGCCGACTCCGCCTGCGCCAGGCCCTCGGCGGGCACGCCGCGTGCCGGCAGGCGGCGCAGCGTGGCGCGCGCGACCATCAGCTCCCGCTGCGCCGGCAGCAGGGGGCAGGCCCCGCCCGCGGGCGCGCCCGCCGCCGCCAGCGCGTCGCAGACCTGCCTCGCCCGGAGCTCCCAGCCGCCCTGCGGCGCCGCGAGGGCGCAGTGCGCCAGGCGCCGCGCGACCTCCGCGGCCCGCGGGCCCACGCGCCGCTCCCAGGCGCGGCGGAGGCGGGGCCGCAGCGCCCGCAGCAGGGCGAAGAGGGGCCAGCCGCTGTGCAGCGCGTCCGCGAGGCGGAGCCCCAGCGGGTTCCACAGCGCGAAGCCCACGCCGCTGCCGAAGCGCTCCTGGAGGCCTCCCGGATGGGGTCCGAGCGCCCGGGCTCGGAGGACTGCACCGCATCGCCGATGCAGCTGCGATGCATCAGCAACGTCGGCGTGGAGAGCATCGGGCTCCACATCGAGCCGCATCGCCGAGGCATCGGCGATGCACCGGTGATGCGGCGCGATCCTCCGATTCCATCTGCTCCGACCCCATCTGGGAGGCCAGGAGCTCCGGCGCGGGCCCGGCCCTGGAGTTGCTCTGCTCCAGGAGGCGCCCGTCCAGGCCGTAGCCCGCCGGCAGCGCCAGCAGCAACGCCACGTGCGCCGAGGCGACCCCGAGGGGGCAGCACTCCGCGTTGTGGCCGCACTCGCGCGGGCTGTGGACCCTGGCCGGCGGCGCTTGCAGGAGGGGTGACAGGGCATGCCTTCTCCTTCTGCTCCTGCTCCTGCTCCAGTTTCAGCTCCTGCTCCGGCTCCTGCTCCAGCTCCACCTCCTGCACCTCCTCCTCCTGCACCTCCTCCTCCTCCTCCTCCTCCTCCTCCTCCTCCTCCTCCTCCTCCTCCTGGTCGTCGTCGATGTCTTTCAGGGTCGGCGGCACCGGCCGTCAGGCCTTCACGATGACAAGATCACATGCTGGGGAGAGGGGAGAACAGGAAGAGCTGGCGGGCCGATTCACTCCTCCTGAATGCCGCTGCAGGGGGGGGGCAGTGCCTAGAGGGCACGAGGGCCTCTTAGAAGGGGACGGGAGGTTCTACGAAGCCTTCTTGGAGGGCGCCAGGGCTTCCAAAGAAGCCGAGCCCCCCCCCTCTTCGCAGGCCGCGCCCCCCCCCCTCACCTAGCCCCGCCCACAGCCAAAGATCCGTTCACAACCAGCCCGGCCACCTCCAGGGGCCCATTCGCGCGCGAATGCGAATGCGAATGCGAGGGGCCCATCCGCCAGGCAGAACTCTGCGGACGAGTACGCACCAAAAGCTGTGTCACCTTGCTCGACTGCGATGAGCTGCTGGACAAAATCCAGGGGCCCATGATTGCCCGTTCTCCAAAAATGCTCGGAGGTCAACCAAACGATCGGGCGACCCCGCGCGCCCGCGCGCTCCAGAGGGCCTGGGCGACAGTGCGCCTGT